CTGTTGTTGGGTCCTCACCTTCTGTTGTTGCAACCATTGTTGTATCTATACCTGTTGTTGTTTCAGTGACAACTTCTGTTGTTGGGTCGCTACCTTCTGTTGTTGCAACCATTGTTGTATATATACCTGTTGTTGTTTCAGTGACAACTTCTGTTGTTGGGTCCTCACCTTCTGTTGTTGCAACCATTGTTGTATCTATACCTGTTGTTGTTTCAGTGACAACTTCTGTTGTTGGGTCCTCACCTTCTGTTGTTGCAACCATTGTTGTATCTATAGCTGTTGTTGTTTCAGTGACAACTTCTGTTGTTGCGTCCTCACCTTTTGTTGTTTCAGTGACAACGTCTGTAGTTGGATCCTCACTTTCTGTTGTTGCTACCATTGTTGTATATATACCTTTTGTTGTTTCAGTGACAACTTCTGTTGTTGCGTCCTCACCTTCTGTTGTTGCAACCATTGTTGTATCTATACCTGTTGTTGTTAATTCAGTTGCATCAGTTGTTTTGACATCACTTTCTGTCGTTGCGTCTTGACCTTCTGTTGTTTTAGTGGCAACTTCTGGTGTTGTGTCCTCACCTTCTGTTGCTGCAACCATTGTTGTATCTATACCTGTTGTTGTTTCAGTGACAACTTCTGTTTTTGGGTCCTCACCTTCTTTTGTTGCAACCATTGTTGTTTCTATACCTGTTGTTGTTAATTCAGTTGCATCAGTTGTTTTGACATCACTTTCTGTCGTTGCGTCTTGACCTTTTGTTGTTTCAGTGACAACGTCTGTTGTTGGGTCCTCACCTTCTGTTGTTGCAATCATTGTTGTATCTATACCTGTTGTTGTTAATTCAGTTGCATCAGTTGTTTTGACATCACTTTCTGTCGTTGCGTCTTGACCTTCTGTTGTTTTAGTGGCAACTTCTGTTGTTGTGTCCTCACCTTCTGTTGCTGCAACCATTGTTGTATCTATACCTGTTGTTGTTTCAGTGACAACTTCTGTTGTTGGGTCCTCACCTTCTGTTGTTGCAACCATTGTTGTATCTATAGCTGTTGTTGTTTCAGTGACAACTTCTGTTGTTGGGTCCTCACCTTCTGTTGTTGCAACCATTGTTGTATCTATACCTGTTGTTGTTTCAGTGACAACTTCTGTTGTTGCAACCATTGTTGTATCTATACCTGTTGTTATTTCGGTGACAACTTCTGTTGTTGGGTCCTCCCCTTCTGTTGTTGCAACCATTGTTGTATCTATAGCTGTTGTTGTTTCAGTGACAACTTCTGTTGTTGCGTCCTCACCTTTTGTTGTTTCAGTGACAACGTCTGTAGTTGGATCCTCACGTTCTGTTGTTGCAACCATTGTTGTATCTATACCTGTTCTTGTTTCGGTGACAACTTCTGTTGTTGGGTCCTCACCTTCTGTTGTTGCAACCATTGTTGTATCTATACCTGTTGTTGTTTTAGTGACAACTTCTGTTGTTGCGTCCTCACCTTCTGTTGTTGCAACCATTGTTGTATCTATACCTGTTGTTGTTAATTCAGTTGCATCAGTTGTTTTGACATCACTTTCTGTCGTTGCGTCTTGACCTTCTGTTGTTTTAGTGGCAACTTCTGTTGTTGTGTCCTCACCTTCTGTTGCTGCAACCATTGTTGTATCTAGACCTGCTGTTGTTAATTCAGTTGCATCTGTTGTTTTCACATCACTTTCTGTCATTGCGTCTTGACCTTCTGTTGTTTTAGTGGCAACTTCTGGTGTTGCGTCCTCACCTTCCGTTGTTTCAGTGGCAACTTCTGTTGTTGCGTCCTCAGCTTCTGTTGTTGCAGCCATCGTTGTATTCATACCTGCTGTTGTTAATTCAATTGCATCAGTTGTTTTGACGTCACTTTCTGTTGTAGCATTTTTACCTTCTGTTGTCACATCCACTGTTATGTCTAGAATTATTGTTGCAACACCAGTTGTATATTCTGTTGTTTGATCCACTGTTGTTTTGCCTAAATGAAATGAATAAAAATTCATTCTAGTGTTAGTGAGAGCAGTATCGATTACCATGACAACCGATCAATGCAATATCAAACGATAGAAAGGATAAGTCGTGTTTCGGTTAATACAATGCAAATCGATTCGAAGGCTGAGTTGTGGTTAGACCAATTGGTCAAGTCAAACGATTTGAATTGAACTGGTTTATGTGTTTGGGTTTAATTTAGACGAATAATATGTCACAGCGTTTGAATGTTGCTGATGTCAGTAATCTGACGCGAATCATATGCGCGTAGCTGGGGGTTCCGGACATCAACCACCCCCACCCCCACTCAATATTTTTCACAATATTTTTCAAAAGGCGGATTATTTTGTATCACCAGCGGGACTGGAAGTCCGAGAAAAATTGCTAACTTTGTCATAGAATAAAGATGAATCATGTGGTTCATCTCGGGTAGCTAATCCCGAGTCCGTATTATATTGGTAAATGCTGGGAGTGACGCCTGGCTGTTGCTATTGTAAACGGCGCCCGAAATTGTCACTTGGCGGCCTTTGGATGACACCGACCAAGCGCCGACACAGTCCCCTAAATGTCATACAAAGCCTTCCGCTGGACATTGTGTGGTTTCACCTATTTCTAAGAGGGTAAACATTTCAAACACAAAAGCGTTGTAAAGCATCCAGTTTTGTGGCGGTGGTCGGATACAAATTAGGTTAGGAATATTAAGTTAATACTGAGTAAGGCTGTTCGCTGTAAGGGAAAAATTCAGACTGATATGGTTGTTAGGTGTTAAGACTATTACGAATATTAGGTGTTATTAATTTTCAAAATTTTGAAACGGGTGGTCCCTCAGAGAGTAACCCCCCCCCCCCCAAGCAAAATCCCGGCCATCGTATTAGTTTGATAACTGGGTGATTGTTGTGTGATAAAAGTAGAACTGCATTATAGCCAGTAACTTATACAAGGCTGGTTTTACCAACATCGCGCGCATTGCACACTAGACATAGTACACCAGAACGTAGTATGGAGCGACAAACAAAGTTCATCGTCGTATCTAGTATTCACACACAGGATCTTATTCTGTTACCAAACCAAACACAAAATTGGAATCTGAAAATGAGTACCAGACATGCTGTGCTTGTTGTGCAAACATTTGCGTTTTTTAGTATCCCTTGCGAACACGAGCATTTGAGAGTCGATTTAAATTCGAATGCGAAGTGTGGGACGACTGTGGATATGTGCGAGCTATATTCTTTTTTTTTTCTTTTATTCATTTCAATAATTGAATATTGTCACAAACTTGTAGTCACAACTTGACCACTGACTCGGCATCGTTGGAAGTGTATGCTGTCATGTTACAGTGAATTATAAAACATTTTGTGGAATTATTGAATTCTATGTCACAAATACATGTATGTCGTATGGTAGCATAGATTTCCAATCAATAATATTTCACAGTATTATGGAGTCTGACATCAAAATCAGCGAGCGATGGGTCAATTTTTAACAGTTTTTAGAGAGTACAATAGTGTCTTTAAAGGGCGGTGGTCTTCGCGCCGCGCATGTGCGACATTTGTGTTGATAAACAATTCCGACAATCTAATGCGCTATTGGGATGAAAATTATGAGTACGAGTTTTGAACTGGGCGCGACGTACAGCAATTACCGCCGGGACTCCCTCGACACCTTCCAATCACCAAAAACATTACCTAGTTAAAGCTTGGTAATGTCTCAATTTGTTCTTGTTGGTCTGCGCAGCAGTTACGCAACGGCATCTTTGTTCATGTGAGACCCATATCTCGCGCATGTGATCATAAACAATGAACTCCATGCTGATGGCACGCGTATTACCAATCTCCCAGGCAGAGTTCTATTCCACGAATATATACTTTCGGCATTGACGCTGCAGTTCGGCGTCATCTAGAGGCCTTCCCAGAGGCCTTTGCGCTTTACGCAATAGTGCCTCTGCCACAGGCAGTCTTCAATTTTGTGGTCAATCACCAATCTCCTTCCCAGAGGCCTTTGCGCTTTACGCAATAGTGCCTCTGCCACAGGCAGCCTTCAATTTTGTGGTCAATCACCTCACTACGCACGGTCATTTTCCTGTAGCTATTACATCTGAAAACGTACTACAAAAAGTGGAAAAAAACGTATTTGACTTCCGAACTATTTATTAATGTCAGACTTCAGTAAAAACGTAAATACGAACCATTTTATCGCGGACTATTTTTTGCGAGGTAATGTTATAGTGGTGAAATGGCGCACGTGATACACTAACACTTGGAGGAAAGAAACGTTCTGTTAACGAATATAGTTGGGAAAGAAACATTAAAGACTAATTTCACTGAAAGGGATTTCCTAACATTTCCGTTCATCTTGTATTCTGGTGAATATTTTAATACTATTTCTGGCTTGAACGGGTTCGATTTTCCGCGTCTAACAGTCATAGAACACAAAGGTTCTAGTAAGTTCATAAAGTTATTTATTGGTAATAAATGCAATTATGCGTGAGGGCGCTACATATCATTACCCTGGCATATTCTCAGGCGGACATCCGGGCATTTACACCCCCGGCAACCGTCACGGTGAAAACAAATGCCGAAAACTCTCAGAAAACGGTATTTTGGGATGGTTGTTGAGACTTCCCTGAGCAGTGTAACAAGATCACCCCTGCATGTCCAACATATATAAATGTGGCTGTCCAGGATTATTTCTAAGTTGATTTTATGTTGCTTTCCCGAATTTAGTTGTTTTCACCGGCCCTTCGACCGGCGTTCCACACCAGCTCACGCGAAGCCCATAGAAATACATGGTAGAGTGGCGCGCGCCGTCTTAGCAACGTGGAACGTCTTGTGACATATTTATCCATCTCAACTTTACGGAAGTATACACCCCCAAATAAAGGCTATCATGGTTACGGCCAAACATTCCACACCAAGTTCCCATTTACTCCCGGGTAGAGGGCAGTAGGAGTGAAGTACCTTAGTACCATATGGTTCAGCCAGGAAGAACCCTTACCTTATAATTTATTTGTGTATTTATTTATTTTATTTTTTATACATATTTATTTATTTTTGAATTTTAAGTACATTCATTCAAGTTATTTTCAAAATATTGTCTTGTTAACAAAAATTCTTTATTGTTGCAAACACCCTATGTAACCTACACTTTTTTACACGGGAACAATAAAGTTCATTCATTCATAAGGATATATCATGTGAATGCTGAAATCCAAAAAGTTTAGAACAGATTCAGCGAACTTTTTGTGTGGGGTCCGGTCAAACTGAGGGGGGTACCATCTTTGTTTTTATTGTTAGAGGACGCGCGTAATCGTTGCATATTTGAATTTTGGCTTGGTAGGATGAAAAGACCCAGTGCAATACCGCAAAATTACGGCACGCTATAACTTATGGCGTTACAACGGCAGATGTATGATAATAATATTCAAAAGATTTTAAAATCATTGCGTTGTTTGCAAGGTAAAATGCACGGAATCCGTCAGTGCTGTATAAATTTGGCTACCGGAATAAATACAAATCGTTGCTTATTAAAGTTTAGATTTTTTTATCATCCGGCATTTTGGCGAAATTGATAATATGTTTGTTCGTTTCTTCAAACAAAACATTATATTTCTTTGTTGATTGTTAAATAATGCTCAAGATGCTCAAATCCATGTCATTATTTTGATGAATATTCATGGAGCATTGACAAGATTTTGTCAATTTTACACCACAGAAGCTCATTTGCATTACTGTTGCCCTTGGTGATACATTTCTTATAATTACTTGGAAGCAACATAGCAACACTCATTTTTTTTGCATTTAAAACAACTTCAAAGTTTACATAGGACATACGGGTACCTGGTGATAGAGGTAATTTAAGTAGTTATAGTCACATGAATATATGGAAATAGTGAAGTTAGGGCATGAAAACATGGCTTCACGCCTAAATGAAATCGATTGAATGGAAATTCACGCCGTTTTCATACATGACTGCGTCTGGTTTGCACAATAAATACATGCATGAGTGGCACTGTACAATAAATACACGACTGGATCGTTATCGGGTGAAATCATGATATTTTGTTTAGTTTCACATTTTTTTTTTACCTTGGTACTGTTTCCTCCGAAACTGTCGGTTTCTTACTATTCACGCTGAGTCATTTAATTAATATTTCACAATAACTGCATTGTCACAGTATGACAGCTTGACAAACTATAATTCATTAGCTTGGACCAACGGTTGAGTCGACAGAAAACCAAATGCACTCGAGTGTGAAATTACTAATCTCACACATACCGGTGATTGCATGTCACTACAACTCAAGTCAACGACCTTTATCTCGGGATTGTTGGTCTTACCCGGGAACAACATGCATACTGGTCAGCTGTCATCGAAGATGACCGAGCGGAAGATCGTTTTCTCCAATCTAACGACGTTAGCACAGGGTTTGACATACGCCCTATTTTCAATGTATTACTGGTAATTAATATTAACACTGTTTCAAATCCCAGACCATATCGTATCCTCACATACCCCAGCTCAAAGTCGCATTTCCTCTCTGAATAACAGTATAATTCTGGAATATTCCTCTCGTGTTGTGACAAGACTTTCATGTGACTGACACCATCTTAGCTTATACCATAATGGTACATAAGGCAAATCAGATTATAATTTGAATACTGGTGACAATGTGTACACCATTACGTGGATTGTATTGAATGATAGTAGCAACACTGGTACAATGGGTCTAGACAAATAACGTGATAGATTATAACGCACTGTGTTGTGTGGAATAATTTCACCACATTGGCCCACACATCACGTCATCAATTCATACTAGTAGTTTACGTAATTATGTTTTTGTTTATTTTTAATTCCTTTCACTTTACTTATTTGTATGGTGATGTAGTTAGCTGCCGAATAGTTTGACTCATTTCATTGTATCTATGTTACAATACAGTACCTCTGTAGACACACGGTCTCACCTGTGTTAGCAGACATGAAGTGGAG